TTCAACAAATCGTTAAAAACAAAGGCAAACCGAAGCCAGATTCTTTGAAGAAACAAAGTGGCAGAGCCCCAAAGGGGTCAGATGATAAAATCAAATTATTTAACAAATACGGATCACTTGAGGACATGGACGTGTCCGAAAACGTCCATTCTAGGGCACATAGCTTGTCGCCCTCGAAAACGGTGCGGGGTAGATCCCCAATTAATCCGCCTAAAAGATAGGTCTATCTAACAATATCGTGCAGTGGAACTGTAGAGGACTCCGGACAAATTTTAATGAAATACAGCTATTAATCCAGGATTTAACACCATCAGCGTTCTGTCTGCAAGAGACGTATCTGAAACAGACAGATAATTTTAACTTACGTCAGTTTGAAACGTATCATTATTTTTCCCCTCCAGGTGATAGAGCCACTGGAGGTTCTACTATCCTTATACGACAGGATGTTATTCACAGCCCTGTTACACTTAACACTAATCTCCAAGCTGTTGCAGTGCGACTTACTCTGGGTGTAGCATTTACGTTATGCTCTCTGTATATTCCGCCTTCATCGAACCTTCAGCTGACTGATCTTCAATCACTCTATGATCAACTCCCAAAGCCATGTGTTATTATGGGTGACCTAAACGGTCACAACCCACTCTGGGGCAGTACTAACACTAATACTAAAGGCAAAATACTGGAAGATTTCATTTCCAATAATGACCTGTGCATATTTAATGATGATTCAAGCACCTATCTGCATCCTGCAACTGGCACTTATTCTTCTCTGGATTTGTCTCTTGCAGATTCTAACCTCCTGAATGAATTTGATTGGTCTGTTCATAATGACCTTTGTGGAAGTGACCACTTCCCAACTATCCTTTCAGAAATAACTCCATCTGATTCTCCATCGTATACAAGATGGAACTTTTCGAAGGCTAACTGGTCTTTATATCAAACTATATGTAAATCGAAACTGCGACCTGAATGTTTCAGTGATATAACTGATCCCATTCAAACTTTTGCTGACGTTTTAAAGCAAATAGCTGATGAGTGTATACCAAAGTCCTCTACGACTCCACATGTACGAAAACCATGGTTTAATACAGATTGTAGACAAGCCAGAAAAGCGAGGAAAAGGCAGAGCGTTATTTCCGCCATCATCCAACTGTCCATAACTTAAATAAATTTAAAATACTCAATGCAAAGGCGCGTCGTACCTTTAAACAAAACAAACGACAATCTTGGAGAAATTATGTCTCAAAAATTAATTCACGCACGCCAATGTCTAAGGTATGGAACATGGTTCAAAGAATTAAAGGCAAAGGTTCAAAATCTGCTGTTCACCATCTTAAAGATGGTGATAATTTAATTACTGACAAGTCTAAAATTGCAAATAAAATTGGCGAAACTCTTGCCAAAAATTCATCATCGGCAAATTATGTCCCTGAGTTTCAGAGATATCAGAAACAACAGGAAAAGACAAAACTTAATTTCGAATCAAATAACGGTGAAGATTATAACGAAGTGTTTTCATTACATGAGCTACATACTGCTCTTGAGCAAGCTCATGACACTGCAGCGGGTGATGATAATATACATTACCAGCTACTGAAACACTTACCTGAACCATGTCTGATGACACTTTTGGATATATTTGACCAAATATGGACGTCTGGAGCATTTCCTCCTTCGTGGCGTAATGCCATTGTAGTCCCAATACCAAAACCTGGCAGGGATCATACAGATCCGTCTAATTACAGACCGATATCTCTAACTAGCTGTGTCTGTAAAACCATGGAACGTATGGTGAATAATAGATTAACTTGGTATCTTGAAATAACCTTAAACAAATAACCTTATAACAAATATTCAATGTGGTTTCAGGAAAAATCGTAGTACCTTTGATCATTTGGTACGTTTAGAATCCTTTGTTAAAAATGCTATAGTAAATAAACAACATGCTGTATCAATTTTCTTTGATCTTGAGAAAGCTTATGATACGACCTGGAAGCATGGCATTTTGAAGGATTTACATGATTTTGGTTTGAGAGGCCGTTTGCCTCTTTTTATATCACAGTTTTTAAAAGACAGGCAATTTCAAGTCCGAGTGGGTTCAACCCTGTCTGATCATTATAATCAGGATCAGGGTGTCCCACAAGGCAGTATTTTGTCTGTCACACTGTTTAGCATCAAGATCAATAGTTTATCAACGGTTTTAAATGATTCAGTTGATGGATCATTATTTGTGGATGATTTCAATATTTCTTGTCGTGGTAAAAATATGCATACTATTGAACGGCAACTGCAGTTATGTTTAAACAAAATAAATAAATGGTGTCTTGAAAACGGCTTTAAATTTTCTAAATCAAAAACTAATTGTATACATTTTTGTAGAAAATATAAGCCTCATAAGGACCCAGAACTATCTTTAAATGGCACTCCCATCAAAGTTGTAAAGGAGGCCAAATTCTTGGGCCTAATTTTCGATTCCCATTTAACATTCCTGCCACATATTAAATCCCTTAAAGCTAAATGCCTGAAGGCACTCGATTTGTTAAAGGTTGTCTCCAATTCAAAGTGGGGAGGGGATCAAACTACCCTCCTTCACTTATATAGATCATTGGTGCGATCTAAACTTGATTATGGCTCGATCGTATATGGCGGAGCCTGCAAAAGCAACCTTAAACTACTTGATTCTGTTCACCACCAAGGTCTCAGACTTTGTCTTGGATCATTTAGAACTTCTCCAGTTGATAGTCTCTACGTCGAGGCAGATGAGCCTTCTCTTTCCCAACGCCGTATAAAATTATCTTTACAATATATTACCAAACTATATTCTAACGAATCTAACCCTGCATTTAACTGTGTCTTCAATCCTCTTTATGAGGATTTGTATAACAAAAAGCCTTCTCTTGTTCCGCCTCTTGGACACAGAATTAAACCATTCATTGCTGCTGCCGGAATTGAGCTGGAGAATATATCTCCTTCTCGTCTTCTTTCTTCTCCTCCTTGGCAATTGGTGAGGCCAGACGTTGACTTAACATTAACCACATTTAAAAATCCGAAACTAATGATTTACAGTATAAACAAGAATTTAGTCAATTAAGAAATAAATATAATACATATAAATCCTTATTTACAGATGGATCCAAGGATGGTGGCGCGGTGGCTTGTGCCACTGTCATTGGATCCAGAACAATATCTTCTCGACTACCAAATAATAGCTCTATTTTCACAGCAGAAGCTAACGCCATATTAACAGCTCTTAAATATATAAATAAACACCGTAAATATAAACAATACATCATCTTTTCTGATTCTCTTTCGTGTCTTCAGGCTATTAAAAATCTTTCTTGTAAACATCCACTTTTATTAGAAATTATTGAATTGTATAATGAGCTTGCTACTGGCCAATGCGACATCGTCTTTTGTTGGTTACCCAGCCACGTTGGCATTTCTGGGAATACACTGGCTGATCTTGCTGCTAAGGCAGCACTCAACAAATCTGTGACACCACTTCTTATTCCATACTCTGATTACAAAGCTAGCATTAGAACTTACATCCGGGATCTGATGCAGAAGAAGTGGGACACCCAGGTGGGTATTAATAAATTACATGAAATAAAACCCCATATTGGTTACACCTACTTGGGTTGTCAGTCCAGATTTGAAGAGGTCATCATGCGACGATGTCGCATTGGCCATACAAGATATACTCATGAGTACCTATTAAAAGGTGAGGATCCTCCGTTTTGTATCCCTTGTGATGAAAGAATCACGGTCAAGCATGTCCTGCTTGACTGTGTTGAATATTCCATCACAAGGGATATCTATTTCAAATCACAAACTATGAAGGATCTTTTTAGTAATATAAGTTCTCATTTAATTATTGCCTTTTTAAAAAAATTAGACTTGTTAACTGATTTGTAAATAGATACATATTTTATTATTGGTAGTTTAGATTAGTAACTGAGATTGTTAGTGGCTGTACCCTCAAAGGGGGGTTGAAGTAGCGTGAAATTATTGTCCTCCTGAGAGGGTATGTAAGTCCCAAAACTTTCAAAGTTAACTTTTTGCTTACCCGATTTTTAAACGTAGTATATTTGTTCCTTTAAATTTCGGCTAAACTTGTCCTACAATCGCCAGCGGCTGAAGGGATGGTGTAAATCCAACTAGGGTCCATGCAGGTAGCAAAGGCACTGTAAGTCCCCATGGTCCCTAGTATGGTGATCTACCTTCAGTTGTTGGCGATCTATAGCCCAATTTTACATTGTATTGTCCAGAAATAATTTTCTACTTTTAAAGATATATGCTAGCTAGTTTTAACTCAATCTGTGATAATCTAGTGGTTTTACTGTCCTTCGTTGACAGGGTTTTATATATTATATGTATGTATTATAAATTTAGAACTAGTTTTAGTCACGATATGGCTGAAATATTGCCGATGTGACTTTAAATCTTAACTCACTCACTCACATATCCAGATCTGTTTGGGTTATTTAAAAGAACCATATCACAATTTGTGGTTTACTTATGTCAGTTATATAGCTAGTGAATATTTGTTTGCTATCAAAATGCAAAGCTGTGCATGCTTATGCCACGTTTGGGACATGTCTGGGTTGTTTGTCAAACACTGTGACTAACGCGTGTGAATAAAGGTGCGAGTGAGTAAGATAATTCTTTACGACGTGTATTGTATTTCAGTGTCCTGTACAGATTCCAGGGTAGACTGTGTCCAACATACTCGTGGCATTCCATGAAACTAAACTAAACTTGGTCAGAGTCAGTGGCGTGTTTGATTGAGATTCATTGTATTCCCACGAGATATTACCCATAACATCATCGGTTTGAGCTTATTGTTAACCACGTCACCCCTATGTGTATGGCGTAGTGTGACTTCAAACAACAAAGAGCCGGAATGCTGATCACAGCAACAAATATCAATAATGTTGATTTAATATACAGCAATATATGCATTACAGATCACGATTACTGTGAATCAAATACTTGGACAGATGATGTAGATGATAAACTTCGTTATGGTGTCATTTTCAGCATTTTTCAGAATTAGTGTTATTAACATGATGACTTTAAATCAGATTGGACTATATTGCCTGTGACAAGAGCAACTGAAGAAACATATCCCGTAGTCATGCTGCTTGAGAAGTGGATCTGTACCTGGTTAGCACCTGTGACAAACATGGTGGGAGGGACAACAAACTCCCAAACCTCCCAGTATGTCTGACTGTCAAGCTTGTCAGAATCGTACAGCTTATAGAAAGAGTGAAGAGGATGGAGATTAAAGGTAATGTATGAAACATTGTTTGTTACGTTGATCGGCCAACTGGTCGAAATTCTCAGTCTTGCACTGTCGTACTGGTCATTTGGTAGAGATATCTCTGTCGAAACGGCATCGCCCTTGATTGGTATAACTGTGTCAGCTCCATAGTATGTGGTTTCGTTGAGAATGACTTTAGGTTGTTGGTCTGAGGGAGTCTTAAATGTAAAGCGGCATGTTGCCTCGGGAGGAAGTTTAACCATTCCTTGAGTTTTCCCTATGTCGAAGGGTTCATTGAAGGTCATGACTGGATTCCAATTGTCCTTGATTGTGATGCAGGTAGCTTCTCCCGTGGTTGGTTTGATCCATCCGTTCTGAAATACTAACTTGACTTTCTGTGACTTCTGAGAGTAGCTGTGTAAGAGAATGACTGTTTCATTATACAGTGAACTGGCCATTGCTAAGGGTGAAACCGTTCGTTCCTCTCCATCATACTGACTTATGGTTCTGATGAAGGAGTAGTCTGACGTGAAATTGTACCAAAACTTGTACACATCGACAATATTTGTAGCTTTTCCTTGAAGTGTAAAAAGTGACCAGTTGAGACTGTCATGTCCTGGATATTTTTCATTGGCTAAAAGAAACACCACCGATCTGTCAATGTATTCCCTGAGACTAAGCTGAGTAAATCTGTGGGCATTGGAGTGGTATATTGTTGCGAAGTCGACAATGCCGGATGGTGCAGTTGAACTAATTCCTGTCACTCCCCCACGACCATATTCACTGATGACAATTGGTGTAAGTTTTCCTGTTTTCAAATAAGCATAGTTTTCAACCAGATCAACAAATGCTACAAGACGTGCTTCATTCATGCCAGCAAACCGATGAGATTTGCCTGAAACAATAAGTGAGTTATAGGAATGAAAGGAAAACACGTCTAAATAGTCTAAAGTGGCGTCCATGAACTGTGACACTTGGGTCCAAAACGAAAAGTTGTTTCTGTCTGACGAGCCAGAATATCCTGTAACTGTAGGCCCAGCCACGTGGATGTTAAATCTGGCATGGAGTTTCTCCGCAACTAGTTTGTGTAAAATGGAGACGGTCGTGAAGTTCAGTATCATGTATCTAGCATCGGGTTCATTCATGGGTTCGAAGTAAGGTGGGATCCGGCCTTTAGTGTAATCATAGATCCCTTGCATCAGCAACACCATGAACTCTGCAGCAGCATCGACGTTGTTGGGGAACTGACCCCTGTGCTCGGACTGGTTCATCCAAGCTGGATAATCATGAGCTGAAAAACGCAAGACCGATGGGAAATGATGGCAAAATTGTTCTTATTACAACTACAATATATGTGCAGTGAGCACTAAAGTATAATGTTCATCCTTGTAAATGATAAGTTTACATTATTATGAATATTATGAAAAGTTTAATCATTAAACAATAAAACAAATCAAATAATACAAAAAACATTTGTCACACCATATATGCTCTAACCACTTCTATTCCATTTTCCTGTGCGGATTCACCTTATATAGTCAAACGTGTTCGTTCTAAATTGAGTGTCTCGTGATTATTCACAGAACTATGCATCACAGATTTGAGGCACGCCATATGTGTAGTTCCTCCACACAGATTGCATCATGTCGGATAAAATACAGCCTCAGGTTCCCTTACAAGTCATGGAAAATCGCGACATAAATGCTGTTTTGATGGCCATATGTTTACTTTCTGTGAAAAGAGTTTTGTCGTTTCAGTTATCTTTCTCTTTCTGATTCTGAGCATTCGTACCTGACAACATCATGAACACGTCATTTTCATAGTCACTGTTAATGTTAGCCAGATACAAAGAGAAGAGTTCCTGCTGTCTGGTAGCGTTCTTTAAGTAGTTGGGATCTGGGTAGCCACTACGGTTTGGGTCCTCTGGCCACTGAAAAGATTTGGTCAGAATAATGCACAAAATCAGTTTTGTGTTTCCCATGAATCAAACAAAATGAAATAAACGGGAATCCATGTACTCAACGTCATCCAAATATTATTATGCGTATTTGCTCCTGTATACTCTTTATGAAACCTTTAACAGCAATGCAGATGAATGAATATGCCTGATAAGAATTCATGCTATTTTAGACAGTTTTACTAAATATCGACGAAATGAAATCAGTGGTTATGGCATAAACCTAATACTGTATAAAATAGTCAGCAGGGTCCATCATACAACCTTCCTTCTTCCAGATATTTATAATCGTAACCTGCTCTCACATCTTGGAAGAGACGATCATTCAGATCTCTGTTTATCCAGCGCGCACCATCAGTCCGTATGCTTCGACATCTGGGGATAAGAGTCTCTCGATCAAGACCATTATGATTGTTCCATCTGACACTATCGTAGCGGACACTACGCCCCCTGTGCCAACCACTGGGGGTAGATCGTTACAGTCGTGTCACTGTATACACTGCTTATTGGCAGGCACAAGACGAGAAAGACCTGAATCCAGTTCATTTTCTGTAAACTGTAAACACATGTTGAATGTTTCGATAAAATACGTGACAGTGACAACGTTATCGGTAAAGTATACTTATAATAAACCCTGACACATGTTTACTATCGTGTCTCGTGTATCTCATATATAGACCCATTTGCACAAATATACAGACAACCTCATATGCAAACATTAAAATATACCTGTATGATAAGACATGCCAACCACTCCACTCATATTTTGTTCCAATGAATCAACTGACCATCAGTTCTCTTTCACTTACTTTAACATGACATATAAACCATTAAGGATTTGGTCCCCCAGCCGTCTATACACGTATGCTTGTCGTACTAGATTTATTATAGAATTAGGACATCTGGTTGATCTGTTCCAGATTGATTATTTATAGGTTGTCTTCATATAGCTGGACTGTGAAAGTCAAACAACAAACACTATTCTTTGACGACATTTCTTGAAATTCCTACATGTATCTTTCATCAACGAGGCAACGCTTATACTCACATAAATGATTCTTCAATTTTAACTGGGCTTTTATACACTTACCTCTTATGTCGAGGCCTGAACGAGCCAACAACAGATGTTTATCGTCACTTTATAGTCATTTCTTATCTGTGTGTAGTGTGGCATATAATATATCAGACACTTCTCAAGGGCGCCATCATCGCATGATTCCTGACTTGTATATTATTTGGGTCATTTTGGCTATTTTGAACAGTGTTATCAATAGGCTGTTTTTGACATATATTTTTTCGTTTGGTTGAGACGATAACATTGCCTTATCTCTAAATAACAGATTTAGAAAAAAAATTTATTTTAGACCATTGTGCTAGTTTCACCTCTCACTCTCATAATGAAAAGTCCTTTTGTTAGCAACTGAGGATATACCATAAGTCATGTTACTGTATAATATGTCTGTATACTGGTTTATGAAACCGGCATCTGCATATATCTGTCATGTGGGGGAAGTGTTGTGGTTGTTTTTCAAATAAAGCTACTAACGACCGCAAATATGGGCACGAGAGGGAAATATGTAGTCTGACAACTATTTGTATTGAAGTTGCCCTGTTTGGATTCGACGTTGTTGGGGAACTGACCCTTGTGTTGGGACTAGTTCATCCAAGTTGGAAACACATGGCCAGAAAAAATTGAGAAGACGCGACATTTGAAATATTTTGTTTCATTTTTGTCTATGGCACAGTCAAGCAAATCTGAATTAATATGTTCTAAAACGTTACTAATGAAATGTACTAACATATGTAATAAATTCTGGTAAAATAAAATCTATAATTGTCATGAGTATTATTAAAAGTCTGAATATATGTTGCTTCAGTCGGATTAAGAATTCACAAAGACAAGGTACAATTAGGAAATAGAATATTAAAAACGTTCATGCTGTGTCCGCTGTGATTACATGATACCCATCCATACCATGCACATATAAGTGTCTGTTTTATCTTAAGTGTATCAGTTCCTAGTATGGTGATCTCCCTTCAGTTGTTGGCGATCTATAGCCCGTGTTTTATACTGTATTGTCTTCTTTAATTAGAATGTTTTAGCTTTGCTCGCTAGTTTTTCTGAATCTGTGATTCTCTAGTATTTTTACTGTCCATCGTCGACAGATTTTAATCTTCAAAATGTTTTTACTTATTATTGTATAAATTGTTTTCATCACAATATGGCTGACATATTGCCGATGTGACGTTAAATATTAACACTCTCACTCACTTGAGTGTATCATGAGTATTCGGAGAACTGTCCATGCAGGTAGCAAAAGTACTGTAAGTCCCCATGGACCCTAGTATGGTCATCTACCTTCAGTTGTTGGCGATCTATAGCCTATGTTTATATTGTGATGTCCCCTATAGTTAAAGTATTTTAGATTTAATTACTAGAATTAAACATATCTATCTGTGATAGTCTTGTTGGTTTTACTGTCCTTTGTTGACAGATATTTTTTAATTGATTACCTTGTTTTCATCGCTATATGGCTGTAATATTGCCGATGCAATGTAAAATTTTAACTCACTCTCTCACTCACTCATATTATTGTGATTTACCGTCAGTTGTTGACAATCTATAGCCTGTTTTTACATTGTCTTGTCATTTAATTAACATGTTTTAGATTTAATTACTAGTTTTAAATGGATATCTGTGATACGCTAGTACTGTTCTTCGTCAACAGGTTTTAATTTCTAATTTTATTGATATATGATATAATCATTAATTGTTCTCGTCACGATATGGCTGAAATATTGCCGATGTGACGTTAAATATTAACTCACTCACTATTCAGAGAACTTTATATCACAAATTTCACGACATGTCGAATTACCTGTTGTCTTGAGCTCAATTCATAGTATCAAGAGATAAATATAACTTTAGGTTTTCAGGTATAGTGGCCGACGTTGAACCACGCACGCGTCAGCATAGCGTTCACCCCGCCGTCTGTACACCCTCGCCCTGCCATCTGAGCTGTCCAGTTGAATCTCGACTCGTCAGTTAACAAAACACCATCCGAATCTTGTCTCCTGTACCGTAGATGCTGTCCGCACCAAGCAAGACTTGACTTTCGGTGACGTATTGCAGGCCGTCTGGGCCGGATGCTGTGCTCCATCAGTCGGTTCTGTACAGTCCTGGAACTGATTGGACATAAGGCAAGAATGGCCCGAGCAGTCAAACTGCCAGTATGGAATCGATTCCTTCGATGTCTTGCTGACATCACGTCACGCGTGGACGGCCGGTCCGAGGAAAACCTCTCGCGTTCCCATTATGTTGAAAACGTCTCCATAGAGATGATATCGTGTTTCGGTGGACACCACTATGTCTGGCCACCTCATTTTGGGCCATTCCAGTCTCCAGCTTACCTATGGCGTGGTGACGCTGATTTTCTGTAAGCCGTGGCATGACGTAGGCGCAGTCATGGTTGAAATTAACGTGATTTCCACAACATTCAGAGGCTGGAGAAAATTCTAGCGTTCTTCAATTTTCAATATTAGGTGTGTCAACTTCTTTTGTCAAAAAGCATACAAAAAGTAAGTTCATTGTGCACAAATATTGACACCCGGACAATAGGAACAGACCTGGTGTAGCCATAAACGTATTTGCACCAAGAAGAATTAGTGACCTGTCCTTAAATTCTGTTTGAAGAGGACAGTGACAGTTGTCGTAACGTCAGGATGCTGATTAAGCAGATCCTCCTGGGAAATCTAATTGATTGGTGCCACACTGAAGCTTTGTGAAACAATACACACTGTGAGGGTCAGTGAAGCAACTCGTTCTTTTGTTGCATTTAGTTTACAGTGTTGTGTGTTAAAAACCTTCTTGACTGTAGATGCGCATTTACAAATTTTAAATATGTTTTTATCCAAATGTATCTCAGATACGTTATTATAGCTGTAGCTATATATGTACGTTAAGTACGTTATTGTGAGTATGTATATACGTGAACGCTGATGTGATCTAACGTGAATCATTGTTATAAAATACTTTTACAGTAAAATAGTAATTATGTTTTAACCCTTGTCTCATTTCGCAGTCATGCTGAGAAAGGTGTTTCTGAGTAAACGTTTGATTGGTTTACATTTGCATGTATTTTACATTGAAAGGCATCTTTAAAATGTGATACTCGTGGTTCATCCTCCGACGCTACCATGGCGCCTGTAGCCATAATGATATTTGTAAATGATGCTGCTGCTGCCGCCGTAGACGTCTCCCGTTGCAGCGTTAATCAATTAATCCTGTCGGGATTGTATTACCAAAGGCAACATGCACTAAACTACCTCTGACGGTGTAACAGTAGTTGTCTGGTTTACAGTCGCTCCAGATAGCATGTACAATGAAACTCGGTAGAAACACGACTATTACGTATTTCGTAGGCGTTAGATACCTAGTGTATCTTGTCGAATGAAAACAATTTGTCCAACTTGTGCACATTCGTTTTGTTAACAGACGATATATTAACTAAAATGCAACAATTTAAAACTGTCGTTTAACGTAGAAAATGTGTGTGCGTCTTTGTGCTAGAAAGCAGTTAGGGTATCACTGTTTGAGACAAAGGAAATTACTTCCATTCCTGGCGCCGACATGTATGTCCGGAGTGAAACCCGCGTTATCGGGGTAAAGACCAAATGGTATATCCAAACGGCGACTCTTCGCCTCAGTACAATGTTTCACTGGGTTTCCTTCCAATTGTCCTCATTAAAAATACTTTCATATATAGAGAATACTACACGAGGTCTCATTACATACTATTTATACGAAACGAGTGTCCTTCCTATGGTATCTGACCGAACGAAAGCTCTTGAATGTACAGCGACATATTGCCTCGATAGGAAGATAAACCTTTCGTTAAATTTTCCCGATGTCGAAGGGTTCGTTTAAGGTCATGGCTGGACTCCAGTTGTCCTTGATTGTGATGCAGGTAGCTTCGCCCGTGGTTGGTTTGATCCAGTCGAGCTTGATGGTCTGTGACATTTGAGAATAGCTGTGAAGAAGAACGTACGTTTCGTTATTGAAAGACCTGGACACTGCTAGTGGAGACACGGTTCGTTCCTGTCCATCAAATTGGCTGGCATTTCTGACGAAAGAGTACACTGATGTGAAATTATACCAAAACTCGAAAACGTCCACAAGACGCGTTGGCTTTCTTTGACGATTTAAAAGTGATAACCTTGCATAGATATATTTTGTTTCTTTCATCATAATCTGTTGCACATATTCCACTGATGGAACATGACAATTGTAGAAGTGACAGGTTGTAGAAACAGTGACGAGAAATGCAGCATTCAGTAACTGGACTTACTATTTCACATGTGTACAATTGAGTCTGAAATAACTCCGAAAGGGATACATATTCACTCCTGAGCTTGACTCGGCCGCCAAAGAAGCTGTTTGTGGTGACAGTCATATGTACAAACTGCATGAATCGGAGCATGATCACTTATGTTCAATATTAATCTGAAGAATCGCTCGAGGAAAGGAGCCTGCTGGGATATCAGTGGCAATGGAACCTCCCTAGAATATATCAGAATACCACCAAACTTCTCATTGCCTGACTCAATTGGTACAGTGTATCTAACTTAATTGTATGTATTCTAG